CAGGTGTGGCATTGTCCCCTGTAGGATAAGTACTCCCACGTCAATCATTAATCAAGACAATGCCCCCACACACTTGCTCACAGGCCAGTCTTATCAAGGCATTTTCTCAATTAAGAATCCCTTTCTTTCCAGATATGTCTATGTTTGTGTTAAGTGGACAAAACCAACCTACAAAGTGAGTATATGAAAGAAAATATTTCTGCACAAAACTTAAGACTATTCTTTAAACAATTTTACTAATCATAGCGATTATTTGTAGTTGTGTTGTTACCATTTGCTATCATTGAATGTGTTCTCACCAAGCTTCAGGTGTTGAAATTTAATGGCCAATGTAGCACTATGATAGGTGATTGGGTCATGAGGGTTTCTGCTATTATGAAAGGGGCTTCACAAGGACACAGTATTCTTCCACCCTTGTGACAATGTAGTGAGTGAAAATTTGCCATTTTATATTCAAAGATCAGTCCTCTCTAGACCAAGACCTGTTGGTGTTGATTTCCATTGTTTCAGTCTTCAGAATTTTGACAAATGCTTTTTTTCTGTATAAATGCCAAAGATTTATGTAAGAATAGTGGTACACACCTGTAATTTCAGTATTCAGGAGGCAGGAATTATTTCAAGTTTGAGATCAACTTGGCCAACAGTCCACTGGAAATTTTGTATCTAGCCAAGGATTACTACCTTAACTCCGGTCCCTACTGCCTCAACCTCCCAAGTGCTATTACACACTACCATACTCAGAAACAAAGTTGGGCTAAGCTCACTGAAAACTCGTGGCCTTTTTTTCCTGGTTTTTCAAGAGAGGGTTTCTCTGTGTAGCTCTGGAGCCTGTCCTGGAACTAGTTCTTGTAGATTGGGCTGGTCTCAAACTCACAGAGATCTGCCTGTCTCTGCCTCCCAAGTGCTGGAATTAAAGGCGTGTGTCACCACCGCCTAGCTGAAAATTCATGGCTTTAAACAAATAAACATTCCCACTGGTGGAGACCTAGAAGGAGAATATACACCTGGTAAAGCCTAAAACTGAAGTTGTGTGCTCAGATAGACAAGTCCAAGGCAGCAGTCTCAAAGAAGTCATAGAAGATAAGGGTCAGAATCTGAGTATGAACTGGTTCATGCCAGAAAGAGGTGAAGGAAAAGGGCAGGATTTGGGTAATGGCCACTTGAGCATAGGTGTCTAAGGTCAGGCACAACTTCCTTGACTCAGGTGGAGATCTCCTCATGCAAGATCAGTGACAACAATGCTCACACTTTGTAGTTAACACCACCCAGAAAGCTTTCAAAAGTCTCCACACTAGAACGTTTTAATGACGTTATTGGTATTTATAGCTAGAACATCATTATTTTAATAATTATTTTCATAATGAGTCTATTGATCTCATATGACTATTTTCTCTGATAATTGGCTCTTACTCTTTAAGAAGAAGAAGGATTGTGAGAAAGGTCTTTTAAGAGAGTACTTGTTTTCTGTATGAAGGAAGGCACGGAAGGGAAGGAATGCATGTAAGATAAATGACATTTCAACAAGATTGGATAGGCCAAAGGAGTGCATAGTCACTAGGAGGTTCTCTCAGATTTTGCAGCATGGCTAAAAGTGCAGTCACCACAGACTCAGAATAAAAATTTTCTCCTTATCTTTCTGTTGAAAGGAAACTTACAGAGACATGCACACAGATTCATATGAAATGATAGACTTGTTTTATTTCACTGGCTTTCTTTACATTTGGAGATTCATCCATATTCTTGAGTCTAGTAAAAGTGTTTCTTTTATTATTTTAATTGCTGAGTCCTATTCAGCTGTATTAGAATACCATATTTATGTCATTTTGCTCTTGGTAGACATTCGGTAATACAAGTTTGGGGTTATTATTGTTACCATCTAGGATGTAGGGTAATTCTGTCTATGAAAAAGTTAAAGACAGAGAGGAATTCAGCCCAAAGCATAAGAGTCCATTGTCTCCCAGGCTACTAGGAGCCTTAAACTCTGGCAAGCTTCCCCTTTCTGCCTCCCTATGGATTGGTGAACCAGTTCCCATCAGCTGCCCTACTCCTCAAGGTTGGTTCCATACCCCTCTCCCGGTATAGAAGATGGCCTGGTATTTGGATGCCTCATGCCTTGAGATCTACCTGGGGACATGAGCCTGGAAGTCCCTGGGAGACAGTATTCTCCCCTATGTATGTACAGACTTGAAGACAGCTGACCTAAAAGTTTCAAGTTAGAGAAAGAATCAAGAAGAACAAAAGCAGGTATCCAGCCATTTTCATTCCAGAAGCACTAAAACGAAATTGGTTGTGAAGATTTCTCAAGTCTTCTCTGGACATATATCTTCATGACCATCAGGGAACACCTAGCAGTTAAGTTTCTAAGTTATCAAATAAGCATGAGGCATATGTTTGTAAGAGGTACATGTCTATAGCATTTCCAAAATTATTACTTTCCCACCTGATATGTGTGAGATGCAGCTCGCTTCTGCCTTTGCACATTAGAGGTTGTCTGTGGGTTTGGATTTAACGTTGTGGAATTCTCCTCTTGCTTCTGATTTGCATTTCCCCAGTAACAAACAATCACTTCTAAAGTGCTTATCCATAATTCATGTATTTCCCACGAATGGCTATTTCCTTGCACTGCCTAGTTTTAAATTGGTTTTGTATTGTCTGTTATGTTTCTTAAGAGTTGTGATAGGTCTTTTAAAAGTCTAGATATATATGCATGTAAACACATGTATGTTAAAATAGATGTATGTGTAATGTATAGCATAATAGCATATTATGTTACTCAAGTGGTAACTGAAGTTTTTTTCTATTTAGTTCTGTTGAAGTCCACTTCATCATTTTTATTTTAATATTACCTCAATATTATATTAGTTATAAGAAGTTGTTGCCTATTTCAAGGCAGGAAACATTGCTTTTCTCACAAATTCATAGTTCAAACTTTTACATGTGTGTCTCTGATTAATCTCTGTACTTATTTACTTTCCTTACTTGAATACAGTTCTCCTGTCATCAGCAACAAGTTTCCTGGCATCTTTGTTAGAAATCAACTGACTATATTTATTGAGAAAATTTCTAGACTATTTGTTGATCTGCTATGGTAATGTAACACTCCCATGATTACTGTATATCTGATAATTTATTAGTCATCATCCAAACTTGTTCTTTCATGATACCACGTTGGATTTTCTTAGGTCTTTGTATCTTCAGATAATTTTTAATACTGCCTTGTACATGTTTATGGGAAAGCACATTGGTGTAACGGCTGAGATTACAGTTACCTATTGATAAATTATGGATTATGATGCCCTAGCAATATCCATCCTTTCTTACATATTTACCTCCTTTTAAAAAAGGATTATTACATATTAGTTGTCTATGGCCTTTTCATAAATTCATAAATTTATTTTAACGTATTTATTCAATATTATTATCCTTCTCCCTTTTTCTGTGAGTCTTTCAAAAGTGCCCCTGTGTTTCCAAGTCTTAAAAAAGTCTAGATTCTTCAGATGAGAGAGAATTTATGTTTCTTGTCTTTGCGAGTCTGGCTCACTGTGCTTCACACAACTATCTACAGCTTCATTCATTCTCCTGCAAACAATGTGAATTTGCTTCATCACTGTCTGTATTCATCATTTACTAGAAATTAAACTAGAAGGGATCTGATAACATGCTCAAAGTTGGGAACAGACAACACGGGAAAAAGTGGTTAAGATCATGTCTCACATAACATTTTAAGCATATTTTTCAAACAGTTTTACTTGGGATATTCAGCAACTTAGCAATTGAGCAGGGAACATATATTTATGTTCATGTGTGAATAAAGAGCCTAGATATTCTGTGGATCTTAACTGACTCATTAGGGGATGTGGTAGTAAACCGAAACTTGATTTTCCCATTGGATTTCCATTACTATGTTCTATCATTGTTGACTGTTTTTATAATAAGGAAAAAATCTAAGATATAGGTTCTCTTATCTGACTAAATAAGTGTAAAAACAATCTCTCATTGTCTCTTATGTAAACCATTTTCAGACACCAAATTATCTATTGATTTTTGAACTTACCCTTTTCAGTTAAATAGCTTAGTAGACTATTACAATATAGACTATTTTCCTTAAGAAGGGAGGAGGGGAGGGAGAGGGAACTGGGATTGACATGTAAAACAAGCTATTTAAAATTAAAATAAAAAATGATAAAAGAAGAAGTTTTTGGTTTCAGGAGGTCTCAATTATTAATTGTCGATCTCAGTGTCTATGCTACTGGTGTTATGTTCAGGAAGTTGTCGCCTGTAATGATTCTTTCCAGGGTACCTCCCACTTTCTCTTCTAAGAGGTTCAGTGTTTGAACTTAAGTTTTGTGCATTGCGATAGATATGGATCTATCTGCACTCTTCTACACACCAGCATCCAGTTATGCCAACACCATTTGTTGTATAATTTTAGCTTCTTTGTCAAAATTGGGTGTTCATAGGTGTGTGGGTCCATATCAGGGTTTTCAATTTGATTCCATTAGTCTACCTGCCTATTTTTCTGCCAATGCCAAACTGTTTTCAGCACTATAGTTCAATGAAAGAGCTTGAAGTCAGAGATGTTGATGCCTCTGGAAGTTCCTTTACTTTACAGGGTTGTTTTGGCTATTGTGGGTCTTTTGTTTTTCCATATAAAGTTGATTATTGTTCTTTCAAGATCTGTAAAGAATTGTGCTGAGATTTTTATGGGGGTTGCATTGACTCTGTAGATTGCTTTTGGCAAGATCGCCATTTTTACTGTTGATCCTATCTATCCAAGAGCATGGGAGATCTTTCCATTCTTTGGTGTCTTCTTTAATTTCTTTAAAGACTCTTGTTATACAGGTCTTTTACTTGTTTGGTTAGCATTATACCAAGGTATTTTTATGTTGTTTGTGGCAATTGTAAAGGGTGAAGTTTCTCTGATTTCTTTCTCAGCCCATATAAAGTAGGACTACTGATTTTTTAACCTTGCAACCTGCCATTTTGCTGAAGGTACTTACCAGCTGTAGAAGTTCCATCCTGAAGCTGAGAAGCTTCTGTAAGACAAAGGACAAAGTCAACAAGACAAAATGGCAGCCCACAGAATGGGAAAAGATATTCACCAACCCACATCTGATTTCCAAAATATACAAAGAACTCAAGAACCAAATAATCCAATTAAAAATTGGGGTAAAGAACTAAATAGAGAATTATCAATAGTGAAGTCTAAGATGGTTGAGAGACACTTATGAAAGTGCTCAATATCCTTAGCCATCAGGGAAATAAAAATCAAAACAACTCTGAGATACCATCTTGCTCCTTTCATAATGGCTAAAATCAAAATCAACAATGACAGTTTATGCTGAAGAGGATGTGGAGAAAGGGGAACACTCCTCCACTGCTGGTGGGAGTGCAAACTCATACAGCTAATTTGGAAATCAGTATGACGGTTCCTCAGGGAAATTGGAATCAGTCTACCACAAGATCCAGCAATTCCGTTCTTAGACATGTACCCAAAAGATGCACATTCATACAGCAAGGACATCTGTTCAACTATTTCATAGCAGCATTATTTGTAATAGCCAGAACCTGGAAGCAACCTAGATGCCCCTCAACTGAAGAATGGATAAAGAAAATGTGGTACATTTACACAATGGAGTACTACTTGGGGGGGCGGGGAGGAAACAATGGAATCTTGAAATTTGCAAGCAAATGGATGGAACTAGAAGAAACCATGCTGAGTGAGGTAACCCAGTCACAAAAAGACAAATATGGTATGTACTCACTCATATATGGATTTTTTTACATAGAGCAAAGGATTAACCAGCCTACAATACATACTGCCAGAGAAGCTCAGAAACAAGGAGAACCCCAAGAGATACATAAATTGTCCCCCAGAGAAGTGAAAAGGGACAAGATCTCCTGAGCTAATTGGGAGCATGGGGATGGGGGGGGGAGAGGGAGTTAGGAGAAAGAGAAGGAGAGAAGAGGAGGGGAGAGAGGAGAACATGGGAGAGAAGGAAGATTGAGTCAGGGGAAGAATAGTAGAGAGCAAGAAAAGATATACCATAATAGAGGGAGCCATTGTACATTTAAAGAGAAATCTGGCACTAGGGAAATGTCATACAAGGATGACACCAACTAAAAATCTAAGTAATAGTGGAGAGGCTACCTTAAACTCCCCCTCCCCGGTAATGAGATTGATGACTACCTATTATGCCATCCTAGAACCTTCATCCAGTAGCTGATGGAAGCAGAGAGAGACACCCATAGCTAAACACTGAGCTGATCTCCTAGAATGCAGTTTCAGAGAACAATGAGTGATGAGCAAAGGGGTTAAGACCAGGCTGGAGAAACCCCCAGAAACAGCTTACCTGAACAAGGGCAACTCATGGACCCAGACTGATTGCTGGGAAACCGACATGGAAGTGATTCAGACCCTCTGTATGTGGGCAATCTTTGTGGACTCTGGTAGTGGATCGGTATTTATCTTTAGTATATGAATGGATTTTGGGAGCCCATTCCACATAGAGGGCTACTCTCTCAGCCTAGACACATGGGGGAGGGCCTAGGCCCTGCTCCAAATGATATGATAGACTTTGAAGATCCCTCATGGAAGGCCTCACCCTCCCTGGGGAATAAAAACGGGATGGGATAGGGGGTTGCGGGGGCAGGGGAGGAGGAGAGGGAGAGGGAACTGGGAATGATATGTAAAACAAGCTTGTTTCTAATTTAAATTAAGAAAAAGAAAAAAGTTCTTTGGTTCTCACTATGAAGTAAAAAGCCGAATCTATTCTATTCCTTTCTGCCACTACAAGTTAGCCCTCAGATAGTTGCTACGTTTTTATATTATTACAAAGTGAATGTAGAAAGAGATTTCTCTAATTTAAACGCTGCTTGAAAGTGTCTAAAACACATGAGTGACCCTGCCCTGCTACCAAGTCACTTCATTTTTTTGATACATGACTAATGAAATGCATGTTTATAATTGTGAAAGTGTGCCAGGGGTGTTAATTACTCCATAATTCACAGCTGCTGAAAATTGGGATCAAACTTTGGTAGGAATTTGTAATCTACTAGATACATTGTTACATATTTACAGAATTTAGTGGTCCAGAGCAACTGGCAAGTATAAACTATTGCATATATGAAGCAGTAGAAATGGATCTTTCAAAGGTCTTGATGGGCGTAAGAAACCACACACAGACTTAACATTCTCTGGAAGTGAGTTTGTGTTCTGAGTCAGGAGTTTGTAGTTGCACAAGCTGATCTCTGACTCCTGGCCTCAATGGCCCCCCTCTCTCAGCCTTCTGACCACAAGAAGGATGGACTGCTGGTGCCCCTCACTGCACCGGACTTCTAAATAAAGTTAACAAATTGTAAAAATGAACACATGTTGCTGGAAGACCGGATACGTTATCCACCTTTGTTGGAAGGTAGTTTACCACCTACCACAGGTAGGTTTCTAGAATACTTTGAATGGTTTCCTTTCTGATATGGGTGTATTCATATTGTTAATGTTTATTACACATTTATAACTACCTACCTCTATGAATCTATTTCATGAAAAATATCTAACAGCATAAAATATCCATAAAGGAAAATGTTTGATAAAGTAAAAGACTGAAAACAACATCAATATCATTATTAGAAAAAAAGATTCAGCTGGGCAGTGTTGGCACACACCTTTATCTCAGCACTCAGGAGGCAGAGGCAGGTGGATCTCTGTGATTTCAAGGGCAGCCTGATCTACAAAGTGAGTTCTAGGACAGTCAGGGCTGTTACACAGAGAAACCCTGTCTCAAAAACAGAAACAAACAAACAGTATGATTGAAATGCTTATAGTACAGTCCGACAATGGTATATTATATAACTGTTTGTTTCTATGAACTAACATGTTTTCCATAATGTGTTATGCAAAAATTATGCCTTTTGTCTTCCCCCCACAACCTCCAGAAAGCTCACATTTTAAAAGAGTAATCTTTCAAAAATTGTTTTAAGTTTTAGTTGAGAATTTCATACAATTTTGGTCCCATTCACCCTTCCCTAACTCCTCCCAAACCCATCCTCCTTTCCCTATCCGTTGAACTTTGTGTCGTCATTTTAGACAGCAGACAGCCATCAAGTTCAGTAATGTGAGGAGGAAATATGGACAGGGACAACAGACGCTAAAGAAAGACCTTTCACAAAACTCATATGTAAATCTATCACTGTAGAAGCTCCTGAAAATGACTACCTAGACAAGTGAGGTTTATGAAAAATAATATTAAATTTCTCTTGCACATCTTATGTTGAAGCATATTTTAGGGCAGGTGTGATGGTACATACTAGAAAATCCTGGTATTAATCTGGTGGAGTCAGCAGAATCAGAAATTCAAGATCAATGAGTCCTAAAGAGCAAGTTTGTACATAATTGCTATTAAATATGTGCATATAACCATATGAAGAAGACTGTAAAATTATACATCTAATACTTTTGTAAGATCGATACTTTCCCCTCCTTTGTAGGTGAACATTTTCAGTGGATTTCTCAAATGAATGCCAGCCCCAAGGGCCATCAGGGGCAGCCTCTGATTTCACTAACTCTTTGATGCTTACATCAGTTCTGGATTCCCACTACAACCCACAAAGTTAATGGCTGCATGTACCTGCAACCCCTGCAGTACTTGGAAAGCTAAGCCAAGAGGATTTTGAGTTTGAGCAAGGCTAGGCTACATGGTAAGATTCTATAAAAGAGAGGCGGGGAGCAAAAAATATGGTAGAAGTGTATGATTTTGCTACCTTTTTATTATTGTGATAAGACACCATGACCAAGGCATCTTACAAAAGAGTTTATTGAGGATTGCAGTTTTCCAATAATGAATGAATCAATGAATGTCATGGTGGAGAGCATGATGTTAGTCAGGCATACCTGACACTAGCGTAATTAGGCATGGCACAACTCACAATTAGAAGGCAGAGAGTAAACAAGGAATGCTAAGGGACTTGGGAAACTCAAAGCTCATCTCCAGTGGCACATCTCCTCCAACAATGCTATGCCTCCTAAACCTTTCCAAACAGTTCTACAACTCAGTAGCTAAGTATTTACATATATGAGAAATGGGAGCCATTCTCATTCAAATCACTGCAGACTATATATGTTAATTTAAGGAAAATTAGATTTCTGCACATATAATAAAAGATAAAGGAGAATTCCTAGTATCATTTCATTATTTTACTAATAATTATTGGTTATAATACACACATCTGTATATATATACATATATATATATCTAGAGAGAGAGAGAGAGGTATATCTATGAGGATGAATAAAGTCGTGTTTAATTAAATCCTTCTGGGAAATCACTCTGTGTTTTGGAGAGGGAATCTAAGATTAATTATACAACCCTTTTTAGTACTTATGTGCATACATTATATGTCAATTATCATACATTGTAACACATTAACTGATGGATAATGAAAGATGGAAGAAGACCAAGAGCAAATGGAAGGTCACAGAGAAGAAGCCAGCAAAGCACAGTGAAGGAGAACTTCATGCTTTTAAAAACAAAATGAAGAATGGAGATGTCTAAGGATTCAGGTTTTAGCTACTGAAATCACATTCTTCTTTGCTGGGTTCTCCACAAGCCTTCAGGAAAGCATGCGGCAAACAGGTACACGTCAGGTTATAGTAGCATCCCAGGACTTGAGAAGAACACAAAAGAAAAAAAGGATTATTGAAATGAAAGTGAAATGCATGTCCCTGGGCACCTGCAATCATTTCAGAAATGGCCTTGCAATTATCTGGAATATGGGCAGTAAGACATGAAAGCAGAGATCTCTCGTGTTCACTTATGCTTATAGTAAAAGCACTTCATTAATTTAATTGATGCAACTGCAGTATTAGGGAATTTAGAGTACAGACAAGATTCGTTTAAAAGATAGTTATAAAAAAACAGACTGAGCTATTTGAAAGCACACACATACACACAGGACTTTGTGTTTTATACCCACTGAGACTTCTGAATAAGTAAGTTGTCTTACGGCTTAGTTTTGTTTCTTGTTGTTATTGGGTTTGTGAGACAGAGTCTCATGTAACCCAGACTGACCTCTAAGAAGACTTGGAATGTCCAGTCCTCCCAAGAGCTAGGTTATAGGCAGGCACTTTATCTAGTTTATGAAGCACTGGTTGATGAACATGGGGCTTTTTGCACATATTTTTTATTATATGATGTATAGCTCCAGCTAAGGATATCATATATATTCCCAAAAGATTGTGTGTTTTGATTTAAGAGGAACAATGTTCAGAGTCAATTTTCTCTTGGAACCCTGGTATCCACTTTGGCCTTCCTCACTTTGGAAGCTTGTCAGTCTTTAGGTGTGCAGTGTTGCAATACTCTGGAGTAGTATTCCAATACTGTGACCTGTCTGCTTTAGGGGAGAGTGGAATTTACTGGTGGCAACCCTCATGGTACTCTTCTTAACATGACCTCTTGAAAAAAAATGTGCAGCAGTTGCAATTGAGATGGAAGGCTGTCTGTTTCGTTATTACGTCTGGTGCTGGTAGTACTAATGACACATGGGAAACAGAAGCAGGAAACCTGAATTTCTCTAAGCGCATGCCCTGCTACGAGATTTGCCAAGGATAATTTATTTAGAGATACAATAATAAAAGATGTCAAATAGAAGCAAGTGAGTTTTAAATCAGCTTGTTAGTAACATTAATGTTGACATTTAGACAGTGTTGATAGCCTATGTTTGCCTGTGGTCAGGAGGATTCTCTCATGTGGTATAGCAATGTTTGGGTAATGTTTATCAACAGTATTGTTTTGTATGGTCTTCTGGTTTTGAATGAGTTGACTCTATTAAGAATATACCAAGCCAAAGTAAAAGAACAGATGCCAAGAGATAGATGACCTATAGATGTGCAAGTAGACAGCAAAATATCGTCACATTGGGTGCTGAAAGCATCTGTCAGAAACTGAAGCAGCCATCTTGAGCTTCCAGATGAGCTTTCTTCCCATAGAAGAGCTTCCCAAAGATGAATTTCCAGCTTCATGCTTCCACTCTGGGCACTATGAGTCCAGGGGAAAATATTAGTGAGCTCTGTGGGAAGGCACATCTGCTGCCATTGAGAACCCAGAATTTGATTCTCAGGCTATTCTGCTGTTCTTTTCTGTCACAGTGTGAGAGGGTTCAATGCATTCCCAGAAAAGAGGCCCTGAAGGACCCTTTGAGGCAAATAAAGTTGGATCTGAAATTTGTAAAGTGAACCTCATTTCTAGAGCTCAAATAGCATATGACATTTGCTAATATAATGTACAAGTATTATGAATTAATATATACATTCAAATTCCTGATAATCTTTTGTTAGATATTAAACCAGAAAAAAATTATAAAGATACCGTTTATAGACTACATTATGTAACAAATGTTACAAGATTCTAAAATTTGTTAGATTGTTTTGGCATAAATTTTGTGTGTAATATAGTAGTTTATAGGTGACTTTCAAGAATATTGGCTTGTCAAAACCACTTTTAATTTCTAAATTTTCCTGAGTCAATTAAAGTAAAGAATTATAAGGACGGAGAGATATTTTCATAACTAACAGTGGCACTGGTTAATGTGCTAAATCTTTTCCTAACTTCTGTCAAAATAATCATTATATTTAAGTATCGTAAACCCTTATGGCACTGTAGATATTTTTGCATTATTTAACTCACCTACTAACTGTTTTAGAAACAAATTTTGAGCAAAATTAAGTTGGCTTGATTGTATCAATATTTCTTGATTTTGGTATTTTCCAATATCATTTGGCAATTTTAAGGTCTGAAAAAAAAAGTTCATTTTATTTGTCACTTTTTTCTTCCAGTAGCAAAGAGTCTTTTATGTGGAGTTTGGGAGATTAGTGGTTTTTGGTGCTGAAGCTTTGCTTCCCTCTGGCTGGGCGTGATTGCCTGCTTATTTTCCTGTCTCCCATCTTTCTTCCACAGGGGCTGCTATTTACTTCCCCATTGTTGTTTGGTGAAATGACCTGTCATCTTTTTGTGTGAAATATTTCTTTCCTGAAAAATAAGGAAGAGATTAACAAAGCAATTATAATGTTACATATTAAAGCCAAATATTTGAAAGTGTTTTGTTTTCAAGATGCTAAATTATTCTTATTTCTCAGATTTTATTAAAGTAGATAACTTGATGCTTTTCAAAATGTTTTTGAATGTATAAAGATGGCCATGTGAGGACTAACTACTTTGTCTTTTATTTTCATTAAGTCCGTATACCATCTAATACAGTATTTGATTGCTTGGTGTTTGTATATTATGCATAAGCAATATATACAACATAAGAAAACTTGTAGTAACTGTATATATTTTTCTTAGTATAATAACCAAAGATTTAAAAGTGTAAAAGTAAAATATCAAAATAATATCTTTAAAACAGATGTGGTGCATGCTATGACCTCATGCATGGGAGGTAAAGGCAGGAGAACCAGGATTCAAACTCAGCCTGGGATACATAATGCCTTGTCTCAAACAAACACCAGAAAAATTGCAAAAACAATGTATCAGCATTAACTGAAGCACAAATTTCCTAGCATTATTTTAATGTGTCAAAAAAAAGAACCCCACGAGGAAAGGTTCTTTTGATTATGTTGTATTACTTTTTCTCAGTCATGGATGCTCATTTAAACACTATTAAATGAGAATTCATATTTCTAATGAGATACTAAAATTCACTTGGAGAACAATTGAATGCTTTTCATAGTGAATGAAATTTCACTGTCTTAAACACTGTTATCCAGAAGGTAGTGGAGTCTACTGGGGCAGTGCCTTTGGGACAGACAGGCTTAGACTTTTAGCAACTTAACACTTTGGGTACTAAAACTTCATATTCAACATGTTATGTAGTTTAACCTGTTTTAAGTAAATGATGCAAGTTAAAGAGATAACGATTCCCTGAAATGTTTTTGACTCAGGAGATAGCTCTCTATAGATAGTAAGGAAAAAGAGGCCATGGAGAACATGGCAAGCTGCTCACATATAGTGTAAGGAGAAGAGATGCTAGAATTAGGGCTTAAGCAAAGTCTGGAGCATTAAGGAGGTTGAATAGGTATGAGATTATCACAGTAAATAGATAAGAAAAGGGACATCCAATGACAGCAAGCAGTCCAGCTGCTTTACTATACGTTTCTCTCATGAAGCCCTTGAGGAATATATGTAAGGCAAGGCATGACAATCTGTTCCTATTCATCTATCCTTGCTTCTAATGAAGGAATAAATGTTAAGTAAGGAAGGCTTCTAACAAGAAGCTTCCACCTAGGACACCTGCACTCCTGCCCTTTGATGAGCAAAGTAATAGGTAACCAAGAAAGACTGCAACTATATGTCAGTAGCCTCAAAAGAATCAACTTTCTACTGCCGAAATGCTACAGGATGAGCATATAATGTCAGAAGAAAGTAAATGCAGTCTAATTAGATACCAAGAAGACAGCTGTCAAGGTCAGGGATGGCAATGCTAGTCAGGGCTGGAAACGACCATCAGCAACATAGTGTAAGCCAGAGATGGAGAGGAGGGAGTTTCTACCACACCTAACTGTGTGGTCAGGACACAAACAGTGCATGCCACCTCCTGCACTGAGCCAAGGGACACATATAGAACATGGAGGCCCTCCTCCATTGACTGAGCTTATGATAGCTCACTGATTTAAGAAATATTGCCTTTGTCTAAACTTTACCATGGCCCTGTAAAAACTAAGACTGGGTAGTTCAGTGCTTTTTCCTTTCTTGGAAACTCCTCTATCTCTTGGGAGTGTCTCTTACTTTGCCTTAATTTCTCATATTTCTGCAATTCTATTTAAAAAGAAGTCTTCTTCTTTGAAGTGCCATGGGTGTATGTGTGTTTAGCCTTCATTGGCATGAGACAATAAGAACCAGAGTCACCATCCAAGGTCAATTTCTGATGACTGTGAGTGTCTGGTCCTTGGTTCAAGTACAACTGGGCCAAGAAAGGTCCCTTCAAACTGAAAATCCTTGTGCTATTGTAATCTTCAATTTTATGGTAAATTGTCTTTGTGATCCTTTATTTCTTAGAACGCTTTATGGCAATGAAGTCATTCATGGCATTCATAAGTTTTCCTTGTTTATGAGTTAAGAATTTTGTTACTTGACTAAATAGCTCAGGGTTTAACCCTTTGAACTTTGAATGATAAAAACTTGAATATCACTGTCTTAGACTGTGATAGAATAGATAATACTTTATTGAAAGAATCAAGGAAACCTGAGATTTGTTTCGTTTTTGTTTTATTTGAGGCAGGATGTCATTGTATTACCCTGTCTGACTTGAACTTATCCTCTATCCTGGCTTCCTCAGTGTTGCTACTACAGGTGTACACCATTGTATTAACCAGGGTTCTTTAGAGGTTCAGACCCCGTGTGTGTGTGTGTGTGTGTGTGTGTTTATGAAATCAGCTTACTTAGATTAGTAACAATAGCAGAAAGGAATCACAACTGAGAGCCTGAGAACACAGAACACAGTAGTTGTTTGGTCCTTTAGGCTAGGTGACTTGGCAGTTGGGGATGTTCCATTGTCAGTGACTCACGCTGGGGAGGCCAACAACCTGGTAGTTGCCCAGTGTATGGGTGTAGGTACCTTAGCAGACCCAGTCTGGCACCGTAAATCTGTAGGGTGCTTAGAGAACAGCCGGTCTTCAGTCAAGAATGGAAATCTGGAAACAACTGGTCCTGATGGTAGTGAAGGAATCAGCAGCAGTAACAGCAACAGGATAAATTAACCAAGTGTTGAGAGAGAAGGCTAAGTGAGCAGAAACAAATAATCTTACTTCTGCCATGCTTCTGTTTATCTGAGCTGCTCCCGGAAAGACAGGTCTTCGCACAGGCACTAAGGGAATTAAGACAATTGCATGATTGAGGCTTCCTACTCAGATAATTATAATTAATGGCAAGTTACATCAAGACCAACCCCCATAGTCACCATATAAGGACGTTATAATTCCAAAAATGAATTTGCAATCTGTGTTGTTTTATTTGTACTATCATACCAATTCAAGGGATGGTCCAGATGTGTTGATTTCTGTGAAATACTATATTTTTATGGTTACAATACTTTTTGAACTTATTGTTACTTAGTTTCACAAATGAGTGACTGACTTACATAATGACAGTGTCATATGGGTTTCAAAAGTGTAGAATTTACTTTTCAATTGCTTTTTTACATCATTGACTATGACCTTCTTTCTGATAACTAAATTTTTTTTCTTGTATCCTTGTTTTCTGGGGTTCACCCTTTCAAGTGTTTATCCTACAATCCCATTCCTGGTTAAGCTACTGAAGTTTCAGTTTATTCATTACCTCCAACCTCTTCCTCAGAAATAATATACATTTCAAAATACTGTGAACTCACCCAGTCCTGCTGTTGAGTCTTTTCTCTCTTTCCCAAATACTTACAAATTTTAACCCTTTCCATTATGCTATATTTTCATGATTTCTTCTGTTATATTGACAGAGACTGTGGAAGTATACAACAGGTGACAACTAGTATTTAACAGGTTGACCTATAGGTTGAATAACTCTCTAATGGGGAGCCACACTTAGCAAAGACAATGAGATTACTGACTGTAAATGACTGATTGTTTCTGTCTGTAATCATTCTCATATGCATATATTCCTTCCCTAATATCAGCTATTGGTATTTTCCCACTGTTCATGTGTTTATCTCGTGTGTGTGTGTGTGTGTGTGTGTGTGTGTGTGTGTATTTCATCTACTGAGCACACATATAGCTGTGAAGGGTCAGGAAGATGATCCCTGCTTAATGTATATAATTCTGATGAACAGAAATCATACTAGGACATTTTTCATTACTCAGAGTAACATAGGAGAGGATATATATGTATGTAAAGAGGGATATGTAACTGTATGCGAAGAAAGGTAACTGTGTGGAGAGATTTTCAAGGAAGAGAGATTATTCAAGATGGAATAAAAGAGAAAGTTATCATCAGAAAGCATGTGTTTCTCTATCTACCCTCAGACACAAAAGTCCAGTCCTCAGACAGAGAAGAATTTTTTCTAAGTCCTGCTGCTCTGAAGGCATTCTTTCTGCAACGCTCGGTGCAGACCTGAGAGCTGGCCTCGTGGGCTTTGGTATTTTATCTTCAAAATTACAATTCTTTCTTCAGCTCTATCAAAACATTGTGAAAATAAACTTTTCAATTTAAATTGCAACTACTGTTTTTACACTTGTTAGGTAATAAAAATAATTTAGAGAAATTAGAACAGGAGGATTAAATGGGTGGGGGACAAGGTAGAGGCAGGAACAGGGAGGGACAACTAACACTAAAGGCCTTTTGAACAGCCATATGGAAATTTACTTCTGTAGAAGCTTCCTACAATACAAACATGTGTAAAATGAGTTTAAATGGGTTATGTCCTTTTGAGTTGTTGGCCAATAACAGTCCCATAGACCTCTCAAACACTGAAAGTTGGTACCAATGCTATCCGTTACCCTCTACAACTTGCTTGGAAAGTACTTTTGCTGAAGAAGCAATGCTTGTGGTCCTCACTGGAAGCTTCTATCCTCCTGGCTAGTGTTCATAGTACTGTAAGTTGGTATACACACTACTGAACAGAAAAGCAACCATCAGTCTCACCCAGCTACAAACCCTGTGAGCTATACTAACCACCTGTGTGCAACTGGTACAGTCATGCCACAGATGTTGTGGGAGTAACCAACCACTCCTCGCCCCATAGTTAAGGCCTGCTCCATGTATCAATGCTGGTCTGTCTGCTAGGTAGTTTTTAGTTCCCCAAACTTTGCTTGTGTCTTTATAGATTGTCTCCTATATCTTTATGTATATGCCAAATAACTTTACTTAATAGCTCTCACTCAATAATTCTAGACTGTGCCACCTCTTTGCACTAGGTTTTGTGCTTCTCTGTTCTCTCACTGTGAGATTCATGTGCTTCTTAGGGTGTTAAGTGCAGGTGCCCTTTGTTCATTATCTGAGATATGCTGCCTTTATCTCTACCAGATGGTGTGGACTGTTTCACTAAGGCCCACATTTTGAAGTCCACAAATGTTGCCCTGTGAGTTCTGGTTTCAAGAGTGACTTTTCAAGCCTTTTATTTTTCTTTCTTTTCACTGACTCATTCCATGGCAAATCACCACACAGATCTTTAGAGATATATGAGTTAGTTCATGTTTTCCTCTTTATAGTTGAAATGTGTTTGGTCAGCTAAGCTCAATCCCTTACCCTCACATTTTGTGTGGCTTGGAACTTAAGTGATGGTTTACCACGTCAGAAAATGACTTTAATGGGAAAGGTTTCATGGTTTTTGCTTCATGATGTGTTATTGCCCAAATATTTTATTTTTAATTAACATGCAATGCAGGCTGGGGGAGTTGGCTTAAAAAGGAATGCTTCTGTGCAAGTAGGAAGATCTGACCTCGAATTCACAGCATGGCACCCTGTGTGTACAACCACTTGCTGTAAGCATAGGGAAGGGAGGGTCCCAGGGGCATGGTGGCCAACTATTATAGTCAAAACAGTCTGTTCAGAGTCAGTGATAGACTCTGCAACAACAGCAATAGTAACAGTAACAAAAATTGGTGAAGATCTATAGCAGAAGGTACCCATTATCATCTACCACCTGCTTCTATGCCCATATATGGACATGCACATGTGGACCCACAGACACACATGTACATAGTCATCTAACATACACGCACACACATACACACACACACACATACACACACACAAAATGAAAGCTGTTTCACTGTTAGACTCCTAGCTCTAGAAGAGAAATGGCTCAAGGTATTAACAGTGCTTGTTTCTGTCATGTAAAACTTCATTTTATTATACTTCCTAATACTAATGGATGAATGTAGTGAGTTTATATATTCAGGGAAAGGACATAATTTAAAGTGTTCATACACCTGAGCTATCCCCACTTTCATCTTTCGTCCACTCTCAACATCTCTGAATTTTTATCTCTGTGTTGGACATCTTTACTTGGCTGCAATCCTGCTTTGCCTACTGGCACTGGGATATTTCCTCCCAGTAAACCATGAAACACTGGGAAACATTGATTTCTAATACCCACTTCCCTCGGAGGATTTGCTTTTGCTTTCCAGTGATTGCCGCACAAGAAAAGGTAAAGCTGGTGTAGTGTTGATGGGCAATAAATGGCCGTACTGATGTGGCACCCCTCATCGTGGTTTTTCCACTTTGGTAGAGTAAGTATTAACATGATGGGATGGTATAATTTTGGGTATCAATGTTGCCACGAGAATTGTAAATTTTTGTAATTGTTATTAGGGACCTTTTAGCTCCTTGAAACTAACCAGATATGTAGGTGCCTACTTAAGCCATGAAATAGCAGCCCAGCATGCGGTGTAATTAGGCGTCAAGCTGAGGCTCCAGCTCATGAAGACTCCATGGCCATGGTTGAAATCATCATGTAGGACCGTGTTGTATTTGTCAACCTATTTTCTTCCAACTTCATTGTTTCTGTTTTTTAAGCTTTCATAGAAGGATTTACCTATTTGTATTTTATATGTGTGGATATCTTTTCTGCATGTATGTCTATATCTAAGCATGCAGTATCTACAGATAATAGAGAGGGTGTCATCCCCCAGAACTGGAGTTGGTGGACAGTGTTAGCTGCCTTGTGGGTAGCTAACCCTAACCCTAACCCCATGGAAGTGCTCCTAACTACTGAGCTATCTCTCCAGGCCCAGATTCCTAGTTTCTTCTCTTTATAACCTGCCACAGCTTCAGAAATTCAGGGCAAATGAACTCTGCTGACAAAGAGTATTTGGAAACTTTCTGTGGGTCTTTGCATCTTGACCTCCATAAGCAGGGTAAGAAACCATAGAACCAAAAGTGGTTGGTTCAGCTACACTGGCTCCGGTTTCGGTGTCTTGTGATCACTATTTACTCCCTCTTGTTAGGACATTACTAGATTAATACTTCTCTCCATGTGCCAAAATTTCTTGGAAAAATTCAATGTACCTTTATCTAGATGATTCTTATGCTCTACAGGTGTAAGTGATAGACTGTGATCTGTCTTCACTTAGTTTTCTATATGGAGATTTGTGAAAATGTAAAAGTATTATTACCTAAATTACACTCCATGTACTCTAGTCAATAGGGAGTCCATGGATAATATTAAAAGCATAAATTAAAAGCAATTCACTCCATTTGGAAAGTGCATGGAGCATTATAAATGCAACTAATTCAATTGTGACTATTAGAAAAACCTTGTCTATAAAAACCCATAGCATTACAGTTTGTCCTGTATGCTCCACTTTCACATGTCAAGGAAAAATAACTGAGGCGTTGCTTTTCAAATAAGTAAGATTTTGAGATGGATTTAATTGACAATTTAATTCAAAGCACTTAGTTTTAACATTAGGAAAGGGTATTAAATGTGTAACAATTTGAAAACATTTTTGCTCTTAGTTCTGCTGCATTATAACCCTTTATATCTGTGAACACACTGTGGGAAGCTTGCATTAATTATTAAAGTAGATAATGAATGTTTTATGTACTAAATAAGTGTCAATGTCAGGTTGTAGAATTAGGCTTTTATGATAAGAATGTTAGTGACAAGAATGTTAGACTGCCCTAAATTGTTTAAGGATTACTTTAATTTTAACATTCAGAAAAAAATTAAAGTTCATGGAAATCAAACATCTTTTTCCAGTATAAAGCATTGAAAATTGGTTTATTACTTCAATAACCATAGCAAAAATAACATAACTGAAACTTGGTAGTATATAGAAAAGAGGCTTATTTAGGTCATAATTTGAGAGGCTAGAAGTTCTTATCAATTGACCCCACATTTCAGTATAAGAACCTTTGGGTGAAAACCACATCCAAATCATAGCAGCAACAACCACAGGAATAAATAACTTCAAGAATACAGAGGCAATTACTGCAAGAGAGATGTAACCTTGAGAGAAAGGGCTCTGGGTCTCCAGGAGGATCATTGATTATGGAGATCCATAACAGTATTCTCAATGGTGTGACAATAGCCACTACCTAGCTCTCACAGAGACCCACACATGGATAGAACATTCATCCATGGAAGACCAAAATATCATCTATTAAATGTCTTAGTTTGACAGAATATGGAAATGTATACAGCATTTCAGTGTTTAGACAAGATAATTCTGTGGTTTCCTAATATTTCATGTTTTTCTTTGTATGATGTAATAGATCCATCAGACAAAGAAGTGTTTCATGGAGGACTTTGGGCCTCCTGGGTCCATGGAGTTTTTCAAGCCGTCTGTGGCTCCATGTTGTATAGGCTGAACAATGAACTCGGCACCCATATGTGTTGTTCTTGTTCAGATTTGTGGTTTTCTCATGTGACTAACACAAACTCAGGGTGCCACTGTGTCACAAAGCATTTTATCAGTTATCATATCAACAGCACGACTGATTTTACTTCAACAAGATCCATAAATTTGCAGAATCATATAAAGGATTAAACTATCATGAATAGTGAAAAACCATTCCTTCAAAATTAAGCATTTTCTAGTGGCCTATAATTAATGACAGTTCAGTTTCAAATAAGCAGTATGTCAGACTATATAGAGCCATTAATCAACACAGCCGTGCATAATGATCTGTGATAGGCATCAGTGACAAATTGGTGTGCTGCTCAGTCCTGGTCCTAGAAAATGTCCACCTTCTGACTGTTCCTTTTCTTCTTGTCTTTAACAAATCCCCAAACCCATCTTTCATCACAAGCCATTTTGTCTTGGTTGTCTTTACTGCCTTGACATACTGTCTTCCAGCCTATAGACTTTGTGAAGGAGTTATCATGAAGTCTCACCATCTCTACCCTGATTCCATTCAAAAGGCCACCTACTGCGGTCCTATCCATAACTGCTCCAGTTCCCACCTTGATCAGAAGCCCTGTAACTCCTTCTGAACTGCACCTAGGTTTCCAACTTTGCCCACTCCAGTGCTACCTTAATTTGCCATAATCACCTCATAATCACTCCACCTGCTGTTGAAATCCACCAACTGCTTTCTATTATCACTGTAGATTCAAAATGCTTATATGACCTGACTGCTGTCAAGATTTTAAACAGTACACTACCAATGTCTTCTCAATTCTACAGCCATTCAACAAGGGAGTATTTTTTCTTACCTTGCCTCATACTTCAGGCATCAATGGTAGATCCACCCTTTACTACTCTAGGCTGCCTCACATTTTATCACCAGTGTCCTTTTTGTCTTGACATTGATCTTCTGGAGACATATATTTAGCCAAGGTGACTTCTGCCCCAAAGAGTAAATAATGATCACTTTACTGGATACTAAATATCTTGAAGAGAGAGAAAAAATGGAGGGGAGATAAAAGTATTTGTCTGAATCACAATTGGATTGAGCAGTTGGGTTAACTAACCCTGGGCACATCTAACTTCTCATTGCTTGTCACACAATATAACAAATCACTTATTGTTTAAGCTCCATTTAGTCACTTTTATTTCCTGTTACTCACAGCTTAAAGCTTTTTGAATGATCTAACTCCTAAATCCCTGGAATCCAAAATTACTTTCCCTTTGAAATTTTAATAGTCTCCATGCCCTCCTTAATATCTGTTTATACACCACATAGGCCCCTTTCTAGAAGTTTCTGCTCATGTCTGCAACTCACTTCTCTAACTTTTGTCGTGATTTATTCACTGAACTACTGACATTACCATAGTACTTGATATAGCATTTCTTTTGCTCTCATTTTTATTTTTTTTCACTTTTGTATACAGGACTTCTCAACATCTTAATTCAACCAGAATGGAAATGCCTTCTGTATTAGTTGGGGTTCTATAGGTCAGGGGTTCTCAACATGTGGGTCATGACTCCTTTAGGGTAGCCTCTACCTCTAAACTAAAATATTTACATTATGTTTCATAACTGCAGGAAAATTAAAGTTATGAAGTAGCAATGAAAATAAATTTATGATTGGGAGGTTACTACAACATGAAAATGGTTACAACATTAGGAATATTGAGAATCAACTCAATATAGAATAACAGAACTTATTGAATCCTCTCTCTCTCTCTCTCTGTCATAATAACTTACAATCCACTGAATCTATCAATGCCTAGCTGAAAGAAAAAGTCCAGTAATAATAATCCTGTAGTTTCTCAGTCCATAAGGCTGGTCTTCAGTACATGCTAGAATCCTAAAGAAGTAGGCCTCAATGCTCAGGAAAGAGTGGCTATGCTAGTAAGGCAAGCTATAGAGCAAAAAACCCAAAGCCACCTTCTTCCATGCCCTTATATAGGCTTCTAGCAGAAGGTGTGGCCCATATTAAAGCTGTGTCTTGTTGTTTTGAAATATGAAATAAAGATGTATGTCTTTCTACCTTAAGGTCCAGACTAGAGCCATATTCACCCAAGTAAAATATCTCACAGCTGTGCCCTCCACTGCTGGATTATAGTTCATTTTAGATGTCATCAAGGTGACAATTGAGAATAGCCATCACAACTCCTTTACAGGAACTACAGCTTATGAATGCATTTCTCATGATCAGCATAGCATCCAATGCATGCCATATTCTTGAAAAGTAAGTTCACAGAATAATCAACAATATCGTATGTCGTATTTACCCTCCAATAGAATGTTGTATAGCAGGAAGATAGAGGAGCAATTCTGTGTCTGTCACTTCTCATATTGGGAATGAAAAGTGATGTGCCTTGTTCCTTAGCCATGCTTGGAATGTTTGCAGTTACCAGAGCCTAGATCTCTGGTTACTTCCTGTATTAGATTCAAATCCTGTTATTCTGACCTCCTATTGGTTATTCAAAAGTTACTCTCTATCAAAAACATCCTCATCTGGAAAGGAGTCCGCTGTGACTTCCTCGCTTTTATTTCATAAACGACGATACTTACAGGTATATAAGTCTATATTGTCATCCTTATTCAGTGTGGTATAATAAGACAACCACCTGCCCATCTTTCTGTGATTTTCATCTTCTGTAACCATATCAAAGCTTATTTGGATGTCTATGCAGGGCAATTGCATTATCACATTACAACTCCAAGGCCAGTTGAGGCTCACATGAGCACGAACCATGTCCTGAATATCAGTAACGTGCCATACTTTCCTCCCAACCTGACCTCATGAAAGCTGCTGCTTAGAGTTTGGTGGCCACCCTGTGGCGGGGCAGGCAGCACAGCTGCTGCCTCATGAGATGTGTGGGTTGTAGGACCATCAGGACCTTTGCATCACCCCCCTGCACTGACTTCTAAACTCCACACAGAATGTGATGGCTATTCTCAATTGTCACCTTGATGACATCTAAGATCCATCTCCACACAGTCCCTGAATAAAACTCCTAACGAAGCTTTGACACTTCTCACCAAACTCTCTCTCTCTCTCTCTCTCTCTCTCTCTCTCTCTCTCTCTCTCTCTCTCGTCCTCATTTACTAAATATTTACTAAATGACATACTGACACATCACTTTTTATTACCTTGTGATTGAAAAGCACAAAGTAGAACAATGTAAAATTCTAGCATGTGATTTTCTTAATAATAAATCTTAATTCAGCCTTAGAGTAGTGTCTGTACTAGAGCGTTCCATGAGGACCAGTGACTTTTATAGAGAGCACATTCTTCTGAACAGCAGAATTCATTTTCCTGATCAGAAACTCCCAGTGTCTTCTAACTACCTCAAGGGTTTACTTTGAGATTCAAATGCTGTCAGAAACTTGCTATGGTCTCATTGCCATGGATGAATATGGCCTGTCTCCTCCCAAAAAATCACGTTTGAACTTGGTCTATGATATGGTGGGAGGCTATGCCGCCTCTGAAGGGTAGCTGTGTCACTGAGGAGTCAGGTCTTTCCCTGTGAAGCTCCTATTCTACAGGGACTGTGCTGACTCCTGGGAAAGCAGACTGTGGTCTGGCTACTGGGAGAGCCAGGCTGTGAGGAGTGGTTTTGTCTTCCAGGGCTCAATTTCTGGCTTCCTTTTCTGCTTTACTGTCCCCTCTGCACTTACCACCGTCCCTTCTACTGTTTTGCTGTGATGCCTTCACAGAATCTCAGCTAATACTGGTGCCACGTTTGGATTTGCAGGGCTGAGAGTCAAAGCAAACCTGTGTCCTTTATCAATTACCCAGTCACAGGTATCGAGTCCCATTCAAACCACTGTATCTATTAGTACTACGTGGAGAAAAACTGGCTACAGCAAGAAAAATTTCCTTTGTTCACTTCATACCTCTGGACTGGATTACCTATTGTCTATTTTCAATGAAATGTCACTCATACCTCATAGGTTTTGTACCGCCTCTCATTTTCCTTAAAACTCACTCATATTACTTTTGTGTCTTGCTAGATAACTAACTAAAGTGGTCCCATGAATGTTCTAAAATGACAGCTTCCTTGAAAATCAGGGCAGCCTTACTGGCTTCACTTCCTTTGATTCTTTACATTCGTATAACGTATTTGTGTAATTATATTGTCCCAGGTGCACACAGGGAGACACCGTCTTAGCAAGAGGAAGAAACGTGTCTGGCAGTGAGAAATTAGAGTGACTGGGAAAGAGTCAGTCTGCCTGACCCCGAAGCCTTTCTTCACAACAGCTGTTCTGAGGTAGAGCTCCTGAGTCACTCCTATATCCTCACATAAATCAAGCCTGCCTCATTATCTTTTCACACTTAGTCTTCACCAAAGCAGTCAGACTCTGTCAGTGTGATTTGCATCCCATTTATTCACTCATACAATACAAGGACCTAGTTAGGAGAAGATAGGGGTGCAAGCAACCATACCATTCCGCTGACCTCTTCAGTGTGCCTAAGGCGACCCACGCATTCCTATAGCCTTATCTGAAGTAGATTTTTCAGTACTTTAAATTTCTACAGCGTTTCTTTCTGTTTATTTAAACTTAATAAAAACCAAATACTTGAAATATGTTTTACTATGTAATAAATTATGGCCAAACAATTTGTTCATTTGTCTGCTTCTTGTGGTTCTGGCGATCAAAGCCTAGGGTCTTGTACCTGCTAGGCAAGTGCTCTACTATGAAGCTATGTATACTTTAATTCCTGAACAATGATTTCAAGCAATGGAAACTCGAACAGGACACAAGCAAAGTGACCTACTTCTTCCATCCCCAGAGCTTGGGGTCCCCATCCCATGCTCTGAGACTGACACCCCTAACCGTTGCTGAAGCTACGGTACAGGCTGTTTGGAGCTGTTTGCACGGATGCTGGAAACTGAACCCGGGTCATCTGTAAAGGCAGTGTGCACGCTGTTGCCCTCTGCGCCACCTTGCCAACTCTCAATCTGTTCTCTGTTCCTTGTTACCTTTTTTTTTTGGTTTGGTTTTATTTTTAACTGAGAATTGTTTATTTTGTTTTCTTTACTGTTTCATTCTTTATGTTCTGAAATTCATGACAGTCTTCCCTGAACAACCAGGAATCACCTACAGTACCAGACAGCATAAGCATCATAAAGCAACTCTTCCTGTCCATGTGTGGTATGATGCCACTCACCTAACATGGTTGCAAGTTCAAGCTGTGTTGCTATGACTTTTTCCATACATTGCCTGTTGTTTTTCAGATTTGTTTAATCTAAGAAAAATATTTAATTTCATTCTGTTATACTCCTGTATATTCTTTTGTATCATTTCAGGTTTCTCTCTCATAAGTATGGTCAGAGAAGTATACTAAAAATGTCTTGCATGCCTGGCCAACAGTGCTTTATTGACATGTACACAGGACTTCCCCATCAGTGGGGGGGGTGGAACTGGCAAGTTTGGTGAGAGGGAAAACTTCAGTGGTAGTGTAAAAACAAAAACAAAGAAAATTGTCATTCAAGAAAAGTGACAGCAGTGTACTTAATAACTGCTTTTTCGTGTTTTACATCTAGGAAGGATCTCTTTTAGAAAAAAATTTCTTATAATAAAAGATTTTTTAATCAGATGGACAGACAGAGAGACAGTTAACTAATTAATGTCTTGTATGTTTGCTGGCAATGAATTCTCTCCCCCCCTTTTTGTTTTGTTTTTGAAGGTGTTTTCATCTGTATTTCCTATGCTGGCTTTGCTTCAGAATATTAGACATTCTTTTGTCATTAACTCTTGTTTTTAAACTCTTCTTTAAATTATTTATAGGATATATAATAAATTACAGATTGTAGTTGAATTAATTTCCTTATAATTTTTGATTTAAAAATTCATTTTTATATATTTTAATTGATTTTTAAAGGTTGTTATGCAAAGTAATGGGATTCATTATGACATTTTTAAAATGTATTATTTCATTTTGATCTAAGTTTTCTGGCAAGTTGGACTGGCCTTAGAATCACTTTGTAGCAAAGTATGACCTTGAACTCTGATCCTCTTAACTCTGCCCCTCCAGCTCTAAGATTATAGGTGTGTGTCTTCATACTGGGTTTGTATGGTGCTGGAGTACAAACCTGAGAGTTAATTTATGATAGGCAGACCCTCTTTCAACATGTGTGTCAATATACTCCATTCTTATTTGTCCCTAAGCCATATCCCTCCACCTCCCTCTGCCTGGCACCCCCAATATCATGGCTTTCCCTCATCTGCTTTTATATCGCCTGTATCTATTTAACCTCTCGTCCTTGCTCCTTTGAGCAGTTTCTTCTTTCTCATGATCCCCTTTGTTCCTGACCTATACATATATGCATATAAATGCACACATAGAATTTTAACTCTAGAATCTAGGTTCCACACACGAGAGGAAAACATGTATGCTTTTTCTTTCCGAGTTTGGATTGTTGCGTTTAACATGATTCCCTTCTCCATCTATTTTCCTGCAAATGTCATGATTTAATGTTTCTTTGTGGCTGCATGAAAGTCTGTTGTGTCTATGTCCCCTGTTTTACAGCCACCCATCTCTCATCTGAGATCTAGACAGCTGCCACTGTGAATTGCGAGTAGCACTGCAATAAATGTGGTCGTGCAGCAATATATGTGGTGTTACATGTCAGAGGTGTGTCAGAGGAATAGTCTTAGCCCTGTGGGTTTTCATGAGACATGAAAATCTGTTCCAGCTTTTAGTTTTGCTGTTCTGAGTGTGAATTGGTTGTGACATCTGTGTGTCCCTGAGTTTTTCTTTTGGAGTTTTACTTTCACCAGTATTGATGATGGTGTACTTGTGGAGGTAAATCTATTTTCTCCTGTTTTTGTCTTTGATAACTTTCTGCTTGTTTTCTGGAGTATGGAGACCTGTTCTTTGATATGGGTCCTTAACTTTTTAAAAAGGTAGCTCTTCCTTTTATGTTATTTTAAAATGACTTTTTCTGAAAAGACCTCTTTTTTCCTTTCGGGTCTAATTGTGTGTGTATGGTACTTGATTGTGCCCCAGTGCATACAGATCAATTTCAGGTTAGGTCCATTTACTTCTTTGGATGTGTTGAATTTACTTGTGGACATTTGTGAGTATTCATCAATTTTTTAGAAAGATTTATTTTATATGCACGTGTTGTCTGTATGCTTGTGAGTGTACCATGTGTGAGCAGAGCCTATGGAGGCCAGAACAGAACACTGGATCTCATCTACATGAACTGTAATTATGGATGATTATGAATCACTGTGGAGCTGCTGGAAACTGGAACCTGTTTTTATGATTGAGTTCAGTACCCTCTTTGAATTTTTATAGTGATATCTTTTACTTAGAAGGGATTGACTTACATACCACATTAATGTTTTTGTGCCCTCAGTCTTGGGTGTTTCGTCCTAAATTATGCCACAGAGAATATCACTGTGAATACTATTGTTACCTAAAGCTTGTTAGCTTGTTTGTTGTATTACTTTTTCCTAGGGATATGTGAAAAAATGTCTGTTTATCTTAAATAGGACATCAAAGACAGATGAAAGTAATGATTCCATTGATATTATCTTGATGTGTCAATGAGTTTATTGGCCTGTAAACAAAAGAAGCTATAATTTATAGGTGAACTGCTGTGCCCGCTGTGCAGCCTGTATCCGAGGATGTGGCGAGGGTGTCGGGATTGATGACACAGAGACCAGAAGGCTCCTCAAGAAGGCTCTCTTTTATTCCTACTCTGGCTGGTTATTATAAACCCTGACACCAGAGGTGGAGGTGGGTGGGTCTGAAGAGGCAGTTAGTCTTTGGAAAAGGTCGAGGACAGGACGGTTCCCGTGGGCAAGCCATTTTCAGGAACTCCATCACCGTACCCATCACCAGATCTGGGCCATAACATCCTACCCGACTTCCTCTGTTACAAGGGTAACCTGCATGGGATTTACAGTTTCAATTTGATGGTCAAAACAGTGATAAAGTTTACGATCGTTCCAAGATCTACTCAGGAAAGCATTTAGAAAGTGCACTTGCACAGATACACTAGGTACAATTATTGATATTACACATGTAACATTATAAAAACTATGAACAAGAGGCTTTTTGCACTATCCATAGAGTATCAATTTGTTCCTGTGGTGATGCAGTTTGTTAACTTAACATCAATAGCCTCAGCTGAATATGCAACTTGAGCCAAAGTCTCCTTTTTGTCGCATTAGGACAAGTTGCATTTCTCCAGAAATATACACTGGCATAGGCGGGATTCCAGAAACAGGAACTACCAAGTCTGATATTTCAAGTGACCATGTCCTGTTCAAATACTGAAAAGAGGCTTTGCCACTCACAGTCCATACCAATGTCCAAATGTTTTAAATGGGTCCTTTTTTCCCCAAAGGGAAAAACTGGCAAAATGAATTCTCTTGTTTCGAGGTGTGTCAAGGGCAGACAGTTAGTCTTTCCAGTTCTCTGTTGGCTTCGGGATGAAAACTCACGGGTCCGGGAGGTTGATGCAGCAGGCCTGTTGAGAAACTGGAAATCTCGAACCGACTGTTTTCTTTCTTTCTTGGGGTGTAGAATCGATGACATCAAGGGTCAGTAACAGTGATTTAGGAGATCTCACTCAAACTGGCTTAGGTAGGCTAACTCTGTAGATGCAAGGTGGTGAGGCCAGGCTTTTGGCCAAAAGTTTTTAGAGATGACTCACAAAATTGACCTTAAATGCAAACAAACTTTTTCCATTCCATATACCTTTGTCTTTTTCTTTTCTTAATACCAGTACCTCTTTACTGTTACCAATTTCTTTTGATTCACCCATTTTTTTTTCAAGACAGGGTTTCTCTGTATTGTTTGGAGGTTGTCCGGAACTCACTCTGTAGACCAGGCTGGCCTTGAACCCAAGAGATCTGCCTGCTTGTGCCTCCCCAGTACTGGGATAAAAGGCATGCTGGGATTAAAGGCGTGTGCCACCAACGCCTGGATATTCACCCATTTTCAATCCATCCTCCAACTGAGGATGTTCCCTTAGGCAAAAAAGCCTTAAGATTTACACAATCCACCCTCCAACTGAGGGCAATATCTCGGGTTCCCCTCTTTCCCGACCTTGGTGTCAGGCTAAGGCCTAGAGATTTAATGTAATCCACCCTCCAACTGAGGGCAACCTCTCAATTTTTCTTTCTTACTGGAGATTTAATCCAATCCACCCTCCAACTGAGGGCGATCACTCAGGTTCCCCTGTCTTTCCCAAACTTTATCGGGTGAAGGCCTAGAGATTTAATCTGGTACCCTTAGCTTGGTACCCCTTTTTAATACATCCTCATAGCCTTACTTGTTGGCCAACCTTTTAGATCTCTCATCTCAGTTCCCCTTTACTTTCCTGACCTCAGTGGATCAGGCCAAAGGCTGGAGATTTTTTATTTTATTTTTTATTTTACCTTTTTTTTCCAAGATAGGATTTCTCTCTATCATTTTGGAGGCTGTCCTGGAACTTGCTCTATTGACCAGGATGGCCCGATCCTACCTACCTCTGCCTCCAGAGTGTTGGGATTAAAGGAGTGTGCCACCAACACCCAGCTCTCTGAATATCATAGCAAACATCCTCCCAATCTGGGACATTTAAGCCTCCCCCAGTAATGAACCATGGACTCGCTCGTTCAATCCATTTTAAAAAGCCTTCCATGGTTTTAGCCTGGACTGTAGTCCCCTGTTCTTCAAATAACTTTTTTTTAACTTGATACTGTAATTTAAACTTCCAGGGTCTACTTCCCACCATACCTTTTTCTATTTTCCCCCATCCATCCCTGGCTGGCAAAAGGGACGACCCCGTCCACTTACCTTGCTTTGACATCTCAGTGGGACCTCCAATTGCTGCATCTGCTGTGCAGCCTGTATCTGAGGATGTGGTGAGGGTGTCTGGGATTGATGACACAGAGACCAGAAGGCTCCTCAAGAAGGCTCTCTTTTATTCCTACTCTGGCTGGTTATTATATACCCTGACACCAGAGGTGGAGGTGGGTGGGTCTGAAGAGGCAGTTAGTCTTTGGAAAAGGTCGAGGACAGGACGGTTCCCGTGGGTAAGCCCTTTTCAGGAACTTGCTGCCCCAGGCATTGTATTGTATTTAGTAAACATGTTTTTAGTAAACATTGTCTTACAGCTGCCTAATCCCAGGCTGATGGGGAAGTGGGTCTCTGCCCAAGGTCTGTTGTCCCCACAGTGAACCACTGAAAGTACCTACTCTGCCTCTCATAATGAGTGACGACATCATAAAAGCTGTATCACAGAACCCTGCCTCCAGTTAACATTCTGCCTCCTACATAGTCCATTCAGTACCTCATATATGCAGCTCCGTGGCTAAGAGGAAGAAGTAGCTACAATCCCAGGTGAGAGTCCCCTAGCTCTCCCTTCAAATAGAGAGTGTTAGCAGCCCAATTGCCATCATCACAGACTTACATATCATTAAATTGTTCTTTTTACTTGTTCTTGTCATGAACAAGGGATCAAACATTCCTTAGGTCATCATAGCAACCTGTACCATGATGGCCAACAGCCACATGATGTCCAGGGGAAATTCCTTTCCCCCAGCATCATGTTGGTGAAGACAGGTACCAGCCTAGGCAGGTAACACATTTCTGGCTGTCAGATGAGGCCCTCCCAGCTCTTCTGTCCATTTCCCGACTGTGTGATCCCACCACTTATGCCTGTTCCTTCTTCGGGAGTCAGTTTTCCTCCCTCATCAGCACTTCTAAGGAAGGAAGTGTTGGTGTCCCTTTCTGCCACATGCTACTTTTCTAACTGAAACCTTAGAGGAAAGAGGGCTCAAGTGGTACTTGCTCCCTGGTCTTCCTTCAGGGGCATTGCTCTCCTCTTCTTAGGTTTATACTTAAATCAGCATTTTCTTCTTGCTCTGTGGTCCTTTCATGGATAACCCGGGGACTGTAATATTTCTGAAGCTCTCATGAATTCTGAATTGTCCTGCCAGCCAACGTAGAACCTTCTTCCTACTCTCCAGTTAAGTCAGCTGACTGCTTCTTGTTGGGGCATCTTCTGAGGGAGAGCTCAGTCCTTTCTGTCCATGCAGGCTCTTTCTTCTCATTATTTAGGCTCTGCAGCCTCAGTTCCCTGACCATAAAATGACTCATCTATTTGAACTTATTCCAACACCCTTTTTGTTCTAGTAGTGGGAGGGATGTTCTTTCCTGCTCTCTCCAGTCTGGTTAGAACTCCAGAAATCCTTAGTGAGATATTTTGCATTCTCCTTACAATACAATAATGTCTTCAAAATTTGGTGTGGCTGATTTTTTTCACAGTGTATCTCAGCTTACATTAGCTCTGTTCTAGTGCTGGACAGACACAGAGTATTAATTTATTCAGTATGAGATGATGCAGCCCTAAACAGACAGCAGATGAATAGTGTGCACATAGGGGTCATGGTATGCACATTGTTTTAGACTTCAAGGGTTATTATCCCAAAATATCATGAGTTAGTGATGTATACCCAGTGAATATTGATATATCACAGTCCTATGGGCTGGAAGGCGGCACCCAAAGCACCCACAACTCTGGTGTCTGGACAGGTGTCTACATATCTTTTCACTCCTTTCTCAAAGGAGTGAACAAGCTCCCTCAGGCTCCTTCAGAACACTGTGACTGTCAGAAGGACTTGAGGTCTGTACCTGAAGACCTAGTCCTATTTCAGATAGTCCCATCCCAAAAACCATCATTTTGTGGATGCGAGTCTCAATGTTTAAGTGATGTGGTTGTTGGAGGAAGAGACAAATATTGAGATGACAGGAAGCAAATATTATTGGGCTGTTCCATGAGGAACAGAAAATTTTAAATTCACTATTTTGGATGATTTTCATTACTGTTCTTAGTGTGTTCTCTGTGCCCATATAATCTGAACACAGAAGAAAATGTTTTATCAACCCAAGATAATATATTAACTACTGGTTTGAAAGGCTGACAATACTGGTACTGTCACTGTAGAGTTCAGAGTAAAATTTGTTATTATTTTAATAGAACACGTTCTAGCACATATTTGTTGCTTCTTCTAAAATCAGGCTCGCTGTATTAAATATTATTTTTAAAAGATATATGAACATTTCCATTTTCTCACAATGAGGTCCTTGATATCATTCAAACCCAGATAACAATACTTCTCTAAATACAGCAGTTGTGATATATTATGAATAAATTCATTTTCTTGAAGGATAATGCACTCCAATTCATTTAACAAAGTCATCATTTTCGACACATATTTGATTTATAAACAGGTATTTCAATCCCTAGTAAAATCAAAGTGTATCTCTTCATGGGGTCTATAACCACAAACAAGTGTTTTACAGGTTGTCTTATTAAAATCATTATTTTCTCAGATAAAATGTGTTCTTCCAGCACATTTATTTATGTGACATTTATAACTCTGGTCTCAAACTTACTTAGCTTAATCAATCTCTTTTCATTTTACTTCATATACTGTGATATGGTCTGCCTTCATCTGTTTGAGGTGAGACACAGTCTTACTAGGACAGATAGTTACAGGAAATCGGTTGTTCTAAACCCCTCTCCCCTCCCTTCCCTTCAATCCTCCATCCATAGGTTCTGAATTTTCCTTTTAAAATGACTGATGCTATATTTATTGTTTTTTATATTTGTGCTGATTCTAAAAGGATAGGGGCATGTATGTTTCCTTTGCAAATAATACTGATGCAACATAGTTTTGGCTTTCTGAGATGGTTATGAATCATAAAGACTCATAAGCCTGACATAATGAAAACAGTAGTGCTTATAATTTTCACACCAATGATGCTCATCTCCCCAATAAATTGCTAGCAACTTTATTATATAGCAAGTCAATCAGAGCCCATCTGCCTGGAAAGATTAGATTGCCTTTTTTTGTAACAGCATTTTGTGTGATCTACTATGACTAATGGTTTCACATTTCTTTAAGGTTCTCTCTCAGGTTCTCAGCCTGACATCCACATCTGTGTATAAGCAACCTTTCTCATTATGGTGTTTTATAGTTTGGTGCATGTCTGATTGGAGTAGATGTACTAGATGAATACTACTGGAGAGTTTCATTTAAAACCAAGGAAATCACAGTGTAGAATGTTAACTATGAGGAAAAATGAGACCACAAGGTTTTTGTTGTTGTTCGTGTGTGTGGTTTGTGTGTGTGTATGTGTGTGTGTGGTGTGTGTGTGTGGTATGTGTATGTGTTTGTTGTTTTTTTAGGTAGACAAAATAAATAACATCTTTGCATACTAATGAGAATGAGGGTGCTAATTGACAGGGAGGAGGGAAGTGCACATATTGAAAGCCTAGCTGGAGATGGCCTGTGTAGTCACCACAGCAACAGCAGGATGATGGAGAATGTGGGTGTGGATGGATGAAGGGGGTGAGTAGGCAGGTGTAGTTTGAGCAGTTCAGTCTTTTTTATGATTGCTTCTATTTTCTTAGTGACTCAGCAACAAGGTCTTCAGCTAAAAGTAAAACACGAAATAGATATCTAAAATGATGAAAAATAAGGGCACCAAGAATTGTTTTTTTTGTTTTTTTTATTAATATTTTTTTTATTTTCCATTTTAAATTTAGATAAGAAGCAAGGTTGCTTCACAAGTCAGTATGAGGTCCCTCTCCCTTTCCCTCCCCTCCTCCCGTGCCCTCCCCCCATCCCCCCCCGTTATCCCCTCATTCCCCCAGGGAGGGTGAGGCCCTCCATGGGGGTGTCCATAGTCTGTCATTTCATATAGGGCAGGGCCTAGACCCTTCCCCAAGAGTTCAGGGTGAGAGTGCACCTCACATTGTTCTATGGGAGTCCAGAGACCGTGTGTATACTTGGGATGGGTACTGATCTGCTGTCCAAGGCTCAATAGATTACCTAGGCCTCCTCACTGACACCCAGATTCAGGGGGTCTTGATCAGTCCCATGCTGGATTCCCAGGCTGATGCCTGGGATTCAAGAGTTAACCTTTGTCTGGTCAGCTGTTTCTGGGGGTTCAACCAGCCCAGTCTTAATCCCTTTGATCATCAGTCCTCCCTCTCTGATACTGGCTTTCTTGAGTTCAGCTCAGTACTTAACCAGCCAGTAAATGAAGTTTCTGTTTCCCAGACTCTCTGGCAATAGGATTGTAGGCTGGCACTCCCCAGATCTATGTCTAAAATCCATATATGAGAGAGTACATGCCATGTTTCTCTTTTTGTGACTGGGTTACCTCACTCAGGATGGTTTCTTCTAGTGTCATCCATTTGCCTGCGAATCTCATGATTCCATTATTTTTTTCTGCTGAATAGTACTCCATTGTGTAGATGTACCACATTTTCTCTATCCATTCTTCGGGTGAGGGACATCTAGGTTGCTTCCAAGTTCTGGCTATTACAAATAAAGCTGCTATGAACATAGTGGAACAGACATCTTTGTTATATGAATGGGCATCTTTTGGATATATGCCTAAGAGTGCAGTTGCTGGGTCTTGTGGTAGGTTTATTCCCATTTTTCTGAGGAATCTCCATATGCTTTCCAAAGTGGCTGAACCAGTTGGCACTCCCACCAGCAATGGAGGAGTGTCCCCCTTTCACCACATCCTCTCCAGCATAAATTGTCATTGGTGTTTTTGATTTTAGCCATTCTGACAGGAGTGAGATGGTATCTCAGAGTTGCTTTGATTTGCATTTCCCGGATGGCTAAGGATGTTGAGCACTTTCTCAAGTGCCTCTCAGCCATTTTAGACTCCTCTATTGAAAACTCTCTATTTAGTTCTGCAGCCCACTTCTTAATTGGGTCCTTTGCTGTTTTGGAGACTTGCTTCTTGAGTTCTTTGTAAATTTTGGAGATCATACCTCTGTCAGATGTGGGATTAGTGAATATTTTTTCCCATTCTGTGGGCTGCCTTTTTGTCTTGCTGACTGTGTCCTTTGCCTTACAGAAGCTTCTCAGTTTCAGTAGGTCCCATTTATTAATTGTTGATCTCACTGTCTGTGCTACTGGTGTTATGTTCAGGAAGCTGTCTCCTGTACCAATTCGTTCAAGGGTACCACCCACTTTCTCTTCTAAGAGGTTCAGTGTGGCTGGATTTATGTTGAGGTCTTTGATCCATTTGGACTTAAGTTTTGTGCATGGCGATAAACATGGATCGATCCGCATTTTTCTACATGCCAGTCTCCAATTATGCCAGCACCATTTGTTGAAGATGCTTTCTTTATTCCATTGTATATTTTTAGCTTCTTTGTCAAAGATCAGATGTTCGTACGTGTGTGGGTTAATACCCGGATTTTCAATTCGATTCCATTGGTCTGCCTGTCTATTTTTGTGCCAATACCAAGCTGTTTTCAGGACTATAGCTCTATAATAGAGCTTGAGGTCAGGGATAGTGATGCCTCC